ATTGATTATCGTTTTTTATTTACCGGTTAATTTTAAAATGAATGAAATGAAAGAATGAAGTTTTAACCCTCGTCCTTTCCACCAAACTAATCATTCCCGAAAAGTATCTTATCTTTCTTTTCCTTTCTTTCGCATTACTTATCTTTTTTTCTATTTTTTTTTTAATTCACGATTGGAATAAAAAATTTCGAAATCTAAATGATAAATCCAAAAATTCTATGGAATTCTGAAAGATGGAAAAATCCTTTTTTTTGATCGAATCATATCATTTCATTATATTGACAATTTCAAAAAACTGTTCATACTATGAACGTAGTATAATGACGGTCGGGCAAGTATGCCCCCATCGTCTAGTGGTTCAGGACATCTCTCTTTCAAGGAGGCAGCGGGGATTCGACTTCCCCTGGGGGTAGGGTACTACGAAAGGCAGTTAATCATGGATTATCAATAAAGATTGAAATGGATTCTTCCTGTTCCTGGGTCGATGCCCGAGCGGTTAATGGGGACGGACTGTAAATTCGTTGGCAATATGTCTACGCTGGTTCAAATCCAGCTCGGCCCAAGAATTTGCCGATCCACCATGAAATGGCATAACACCCATTTGTTGTTCTCCAGAAATGACTGATCTGCTCTGATACGGAAGAATCAAAATAGGAAACATCTCTAGCGATATTGTTTTTTTTCCGTATTACATATTTTTTCTACAAATTCGGATGTTGCTAGTAATCCTGATTCATATCAGGGTTTGTAAGTAGAAAGTCTTAGGAAAAGATTAAAAAAAAAAGACTCTTTTCTCTTTTCATTGATTCATTTTTCAATTGACTTGGCAATAACGAACGGATTACGAGTAATCCGTGTCAATCTCACTAAAGTGCATATCTATATGGATATCAATATATACTATAGTCCGCCTCTTTCAGTTACAGCACAATGGTTCGAATCTAAAATAGAAAAAAGGTTTGAATGAAACCGTAAGAATCTGTATGCTGTACGCTTTTTTCCCTGGGATTGTAGTTCAATTGGTCAGAGCACCGCCCTGTCAAGGCGGAAGCTGCGGGTTCGAGCCCCGTCAGTCCCGATGGATACAAATCCAATAAAAAAGACATCCATTCATCTTGTGTGTGAAAGGGAATAAAAATAACAAACAAAATCTCATTCCTAATAGGGATCCCTCTTGTTTTTTTCTTTTTTCGTCAGAACCTTTACCTTACATTAAACTAAAAAAGAAAGAATAAAAAAGGAAAAGGAATTTTGGATTGCATCAGAAATCTAAATTTTAAATTTGGTATGGATAAAAGATTTTCCTATGTTATACTATTTAATTCTCGACGATGAATCGATTTGATAATTCAGATATTGTTATTCATGATATTGATACGATTTGACATCATTAAAATTTTATACCATTGAATTTACCGACGAAAGATTTATCATCTCTATGGGATTAAATCCCGAATTTTTTATTGGAAATTGAAGAGAAATAAAACATAGAGATTATGGAAGTAAATATTCTCGCATTTATTGCTACTGCATTGTTCATTCTAGTTCCTACTGCCTTTTTACTTATAATTTACGTAAAAACGGTAAGTCAAAGTGAATAATTTCACTTAAACATGACTTTCTTAATTCTTGTCTATGCAATCATTGATTGAAAAAAAATGAAAAAAAAAAAGATTTCAATTTGGAGTCTTAGTCTTAAATGAAATGATCGGACTACAATCAGCAGAATTCTATGAAATCCAGATAGTCTAGTAGAAAGAAATCAAATCTATTTCTTTCTACTAGACTATTATTGTAATATATTCAAGTTTTACTCTCTAAAAAAAAATAGGGTTTAATATAAATCAATCTCCAATATGTATCTTCATATATATAATTTCAATTACATATATGTAAATATATGTAATATACATAACATAGCGTCCCAATTTTTTTTCTTTGTTTCATCTATTTGATTTGTATTGATTCCAATCAATCTGAAATAATTAAAAAGCAACTCTTATTCTTCCGATTACTATTTGTGGATTTCAGATTCTTTTTACAATCCCGGTATCATATTAAAAAAAAGTAGGAATGGGGGTTACACGGTTCCTCATTTTCCATATATAATCTTGGTAAGAGTCGGTTCATCGAAATGGAAATCCTAGGAAAAATTCGGAATAGGAGACAATTTCCTATTATTTTGTATTCCTTTTTTTTTTCAATTATTTTCAAAACACGAATATGGAATTATTCAAATATTTGTTTGATTGAAAGAGTATTTTGGATTTCTATATTATCCATAGAATACATTACACTACTAGACTACAATAGAACTTCGAAATACAGATATATTTTATATTTGAATTCAATTAATTAGTATGAATTAAATACTATAATTCATATAGTTCCAAAATTGAATTCATATAGTTCCAAAATTTCAAAACCCAGCTATAAAATAAAATGGATACTTTGATCCCTTAACTCAATTATTAGTATACTTATAGTCCACTTCTTCCCCATACTACGAGGGAAAGGGAAAATGAAAAAACTACCATTAAAGCAGCCCATGCAAGACTTACTATATCCATGTAAATTTTGTCTCCTATCTCTATAAAAAGGAATCATTTTTTTATTGTTCACAAATATTTCTCTTGTATTTATTTTTCTTTTGTATTATTAACTAATAATATTATAATAAGAATACTATTCTAATATAGAATAAGAATACTATAATAATAGTGAAATTGCTGGTACAAAGTCAAAAAAGGATTCTGGGCTAACACCATTGACGAAAAATTCTATTAAAACATCTAACAAATTCTTATATGATTTTTAGTAAAATCGGAAAACATTAAGTATAAACAAAATATCCAGAAACATCCTTGGAAGTTTTAAGAGAATGAATGTTATTAACAGGTAGGAATAATAAGACCTGGATTTTATCCCCCTATTTCATTAAGTAATTTCATTAAGTAAAAAAAAAAATAGAAAAAAGACAGATTACTTTGCATACTCATACTCTTATTTCCATTCGATCTAATCCTTAGCGTCTCCTGATTCGTTCTCTAAAATAATCGGAGGATAGCCTGCCTATTTAATTCTTTGACTAGAGGTTACCGAAAAGAAAGATTTTCTATTTGATTCTATTTCCATTCGAATCAAATAGAATCAAAAAAAATTTGAAATTTTAATAAATATATATTAAATATTAATATATATATTTATTAAAATAGAACTATTTAAATCAACAAAAAACTATTTATATTTATATATATACTTATATATATATATAAATTAAATAAATAAAATATATAAATTAAATAAAAAAAAAGCCAATTAGCTATTCAATCTAACTAATCTAACTAATATTGAATAAATGCGGAAGCACTCATATACTTTACATCAGTCTGTATGCAAGGTTTTTCTTCCGCCCCTTCTCCAACTAAAAATGGAATTAGATTCCCTGTCCGACCTATCCTTATCCAATCTAATTCAAGACCCAGTCAGTAGACGGACACTACAATAGTAGTGGATTGAAACGACTATTATTTCAACATTTATCGATTCCTTTTCACTACTGGAATCTTTCCTTCAATCCGAGACGAAAAGATTTACAGCATTTTTTGGAACAAACCTTAGAATTTAGAATAAAACAAGTTTCAAGAGTCCTTTTCCTCCGCTTGCTTCTGCTGGAAAAAAAAATTTCTATCAAAAAAACGTAATACACTATTTCAAATCTCTTGTCGATCAGGCGACACCCGGATTTGAACTGGGGAAAAAGGATTTGCAGTCCCCCGCCTTACCACTCGGCCATGCCGCCAAAACTAAAATCGAAAAAACTAATATATATATATATATGAATATATGAGAATTCCCACTTTCCCCAAAAAAGGAGGATTCTATACTTCTTTTTTTTATGCTTGTATTTTAAATTTGGTTTTCTTTGATCCCATTCTTAAAAAAAAAAGAAAAAAATCTCGGGACAAATCGCAACCGTTAACTATAAATTTCTGAACGATTCTTGAAAATTTGGATCTAAGATGTTTTTTTTTCTTAATGAGATAAGAAAATCGAAATTGATACATAACCAATCAATCTTTTTTGAAAAAAAAACTTTCCCTATTTCAATTATAACAGCAACTGTCAATATATGTAAACCCTAGAACATAAATTTTCATTGTTACACAAATATTATCTAATTGGATATCTTATCCATATATAATATATATACTATAGGGAATTTTCAAGAAATTCTCGTGCTTCCCCCTTTTTATAGATTGAATAGAAAATAAAAAATGAACATGACATGTCATGTGCTTTCCCGAACGTGCAATAAAGTAATAAAGATATCTATCTATCTATAGATAGATAGATAGAGTTGGAGTTAGATCTACGTATGTTTAATAAATACAAGCCTTATTACACACTCTAATCGTATTCTCCTATTCTAAAAAAAATAGGTAAAAATTTCTCTCTTTTCTGCGAATTCAAATTCTTTTTTAAACAATTAAAAAGGTTAAGTGCTAAAAAAATCAATTCTATATTGTTTCTGATTATTCGATTAGATCTTTATCTCAGCGAGCAGAGCAAATCCCGAATTGATTTTTTTCGGGTATCAAATCAAATTGGAATATGTAATATCAGAATAATGGTATAAATGGAATCTATTTTTTTTTTTTTTGATATGCCTTAAAAAACCCGAAAATGAAAGTGGAATTATTCAATTCGTTTCCATTTTTCTATTTATATTCGAATTTCGATTCTATCTGTTTGTTTTGTTGCAAATTCATAGTTGAGTATAAAATCATATTTTATTTATTCTTCTTTTCATAATAGGTATTTCATACACAGGGTTAGGTAAAATTTCATGTAATTCAGTAAAAAGAAAAAGAACAGAAATTCCATTTTTGCTAAATCTATTCATGTGATTTGAGAAAGAATGACAGCAAATCGTGGGATATTTTTCTATAAAATTCACGGGGAAATTGAAAATGCTTGAGGTTGGAAATGAGGGACTGTCTGCACTACCCGGGTTGAATCAGATACAATTTGAAGGATTTTGTAGGTTCATTGATCGGGGGTTAACAGAAGGACTTTTTAAGTTTCCAAAAATTGAGGATACAGATCAAGAAATGGAATTTCAATTATTTGTGGAAAAATATCAATTGTTAGAACCCTTGATAAACGAAAAAGATGCCGTATATGAATCGCTTACATATTCCTCTGAATTATATGTATCCGCAGGATTAATTTGGAAAAGCAGTAGGGACATACAAGAACAAACTATTTTTATTGGAAACATTCCTCTAATGAATTCCCTGGGAACTTTTATAGTAAATGGAATATACAGAATTGTAATCAATCAAATATTGCAAAGCCCTGGTATCTATTACCGATCAGAATTGGATCATAACGGAATTTCGGTCTATAC